TAGAGCATGTCTGCAAGGAAAACAGGGGAAGTTGTATCTTTCCCACTCACTCATCTTGGTCCTAAGTGGTGATCCTAGGGTCGCGGATCCCCAAAGTGGTTTGGGAGATCTGGAATAAGCATTCTGGGTCCCTCTTCTTACCTGGTTGCCATAGAGTTTCTCATGGCAACCACCTTGGCTTAAGAGAGCAGAATAAAGATGGCCCCATGTGAATTCAAGGCAGAGAGGCGACCACCCAGTCCTGAGTTTCTCAAGGTGAGGAAGAAGCTGGACAGTCTCCTGTGCACCCAGAGCTGTTGACCAAGGATGGGCTTCATGCCTGCCTGGGTTGAGGGTGCACCATATGGCTACAGGGCAAACCTAATATTTAGAGCCCAGACAAAAATGCAAACTTATGAAAAAAAAAATGCAAACTTATTCAGGAAGTTTAAAGAGGGAAGAAGATCAGACGTGATGGAGTATCTGTGAACACCAGCATCAGACAGAGAAGAGCTAGAGAAGAGCTGCAAACTTGTTTTTTGTTTTTTGTTTTTTTTTTTTTTTTAAGACAGAGTCTCACTCTGTTGCCTGGGCTCAAACTCCTGGGTTCGAGCAATCCCTCTGCCTCAGCCTCCTGAGTAGCCGGGACTACAGGCATATGCCACCATGCCTGGCTAATTTTTTCTATGTGTTTTTAGTTGGCCAATTAATTTCTTTGTATTTTTAGTAGAGACGGGGTCTCTCTCTTGCTCATGCTGGTTTCGAACTCCTGACCTTGAGCAATCCTCCCGCCTCGGCCTCCCAGAGTGCTGGGATGACAGGCGTGAGCCGCTGTGCCTGGCTGAAAACTTGTTTATTCTGCCTGTTACAGTCTTGTGTGAACCCCTTGGAGCTCAGACTCAATTCCAAGAGAAAGAGGTGGGTAGAAGCACAAATCGATGGATTGAGTTGAATGTGTGTTTCCTGAGATTCATCAGAATTGATGATGAGGTTATTCTGTGTGCCATAAGAATGAACAGGGATAGAAAAAAAAATGATAAGTTGATTAGGAAGCTTGAGAATGTGTACCTCGTACTCACAGAGAGAGTGAGAGACAGAGGCAGAGATGGAGATAGAGAAGGGGGTCGGGAGAGAAAGAGAGAGAGAGACCTAGAGAGAGAGAGAGAGACGGGGAGGAAGAGAGAGAAATGAGGAGGGGGCGAGAGACCAGGAGGGGGCGAGAGTGCACACGAGGTCTCCCTGGCAGGCAGGAACCACTCAAGTTCACGCCTGTCTCTCACCCAGTGGGTGCTGCTCAATAAATGATTGTCGAACAACATAATCTGAAAAGGCGATCTGAAGCAAGGACATGAAGATGGACATTGATGGTGCAGAGTGAGGCACAGGGGAGGCTGTTCCTCCTTTTCTCCTCCTTCACAATTTTGCCTGCGGTAGGACCTAAATTTAAAGTAAGATTGAACCGTGTTCTCTGGCGTCCTTAGAACTCCACCCTCTCTCTCCCTTGTGATGGGAAAGATCAGATGCCTTCCTCGGTGCGCTCTGAGGGAAGGGTTCACAGCCCGTCTCACCTCTTCCTGTCTGTCTGAGTCTCCCCAGCTTTGTCCCCCACCTCTCGGGAAGACCCCCCCATCCCAAGCACAAGGGGGTGATGGTCACCCCAGGTTGACGATATTTTCAGTTCAAATTTTAAACACCCAGCAACGGAGGGATCATGCTCACTGCTTACAATGCCCCCTTTTAAGGATCTGCAGACTAGGAAAATGGCATTTGAGATGTTCAAAGGGAGAAGCCCAGCCTGTTTCACCTGCACAGGAATAGTCAAAGTTCAAACCAGAGTGTGATTGAAAAATAAATGAGCTCATTATGGTTGAGGCCGTCGAGGAAGATGCGGTCTCACCAGGCTTCGAATCAAGAGAGATATTTGGGAACTAAATGCCACCGTCCTTTTGCTGCTTCCCTACCTGAGCACAAAGCCCTCCTCGATCCGGGCCATATCACCATGAGATTTAACAAAGGACCTTTATCAGGAGAGAGGAGACTATTAATTTTTCTACGTTAATTTATCATGGTGGAGACCTGGTGCATAATTTAGCATTTATCCCATTAATTTTATAGGTGCTCATTACAGCTGTGACAACAGTTGGAAATGTTTAAAGGAAAAAGGAGATCTCCTCGCCTCCTCGTCATTATGTGAGGAAAGGCTTGGGGAAACTTTTTATGTCGCACGTGTCTCCTCCCCGACCTCTGTCTGCAGACTGCTGGAAGGCAGAGGGGCCCAGAAGATTCTGGATGCTGGGGAGGCACAGTTCAGAGCAGCGAGTCGTTCAGAGAGGAAGGGAGTAAACTTGATGGGTGTCTGAGATGGGCTCGCTGACAAAATGCAGCATGGAAAATGAGCCCAGTAAAGCAGCCATAAAGTTTGAATCACAGCATCATAAAAATGACAACAGACCAAAAGCAATAAATATTACAAGCATCCCAGAACGAGACAGGTTGCCCCATGCACACACCTGGGAATACAATTGCCTTCCGTAACTTCGTTGTTACACTGTTAATTAAGCCATCTCTGAAATAACAAAGTATCCAAAAGGATGAAGAATCCACCATAAAAAGTAGAGACAAATTCTAACCCTGCGATGACTTCCTATTTCTTTGCATCAAAAGAATCTGCAAAGGTGGGGGAGGATTAAAAATAATCTAGTCCACTGTTTGCCAAAGCAGGAAAAAAATTCTTATGATCTGCAGTAGTTCTTTCCTTTTCTTTTTCTTTGCATTTATTCTGTACCATTTGGGAGTTTTAAAAAAGCATTCTAAAATTTATTTTTATGGTCAAAAAAATTGCATATATTTATCCCGATATGACACATTGTCCTGAAATATATATATGCTACTTTGTGAAAGGACTAAATCAAGCTGATCAACATACTCATCACCTCACATATGTATCATTATTTTGTGGTGATGACATTTAAAATGTACCATTTTAGCAATTTTCAGGAATGTGATACCTTGTTATGAACTATAGTCACCATGTTGTACAATAGATCTCCCGAGCTGATTCCTCCTATCCAACTAAAAATCTTGTGTCTTTGACCAGCAATGCCCCAACCTCCCCAGTGCCCCTGACAGTAGATGTGTTTTATAGCCTCACCTTGGACACCAAATTGTCAAATATTGAACCTTTTTTTTCCTCTAGGGAAAATATAGATATATGTTCTTGCAAGCCTCTTGTCATAATATTTTTTATCAACCACTCAATACCTAGCCTTATTTTATGTGCGTTTCTGTTTAAAGATACCTTATTTAATGTTGTTGATCCATTAGCATTGAACTCATGGCCAACACCACTGTGACTGACTGACGCCTAACTGAAGCTTCTCTGACTTTTCTTTGGTCAGGCACACGACTGCCTTCTTGCAGTAGCCAACACTTCAGCACTGTGCACATTAAACGGCAAAATCACCAACGAAAAACACAAAAATGGGAGAAGTTTGTCACTAGGTAGATAACAAGAAGGACACCTGTTTATGGCATGAAAGCTGAAATAAGAAAACAGAGCATAGCCTTGCTCAGTCTCAGGTGGGAATGTGGACATCAGGTGACTTAAACGTTTTTCTGTCCAGTGAAGAAGCACAAAAGCATGAGGAACATTTGATTTTGGTGTTACAAATAAATTCTAGCAAGCAAGCCAATTTACAAACACAGAGTCTATGAATATTGAGGACCCTGCCCACAAAGAGAGTGATGTCTGCAACACCCAGTGATTTATACAATAATTTTAAAATAATACATTTCCCTGTATCACTCAGAGTCTTTGGTTGCAAGAAATAGGAAGTGATTGGGGATCAATTGCTTGGAAAAACAACAGAAGGACATGGGGAAACTTGGAAAATGAAGGCAAAATGTAAAAAAAAAAAAAAAAAAAAACAGAGAGAGAGAAAAGACAGGAAATGGGCAATTGCGAGGACAAGGTCGCATTCATCCCTGCATTCCTACATATTTACGGAAGTGTCATGTGCCAGGCATTTTTCAACATGCCTGGTATACACGTGTGAACCAAACGAGGTCTCTGTCCATGTGGAACTTACACTTTATCAGAGAAGACAGACAATAAAATATTAACATATATTAGAAGCAATATGTCCTATGAAAAATTAGAGCCAGATCAGGGGGCATCTAGCCTGCCAGGGGTGAGAGTGGCCAGGTACAGTTTCAAATCCTAATTCTGCTTCTTCAGCAAGTCGTGTGAGCTTGGTCGATTTTCTTCACTTCACTTCATCTTACATTTGTTTCGTCTGTAGCACAGGTATTATAATGACACCGATTTCATGGGATTCTTAGGATTATTGCAGGTGAAGGACTTGGCACAGTGCTCAGCACACAGTAGGCATATTATCTTTTTCACGCTTATATTAACGTGTCATTACAACAATGACACAAATGCCACATAGCCCCTGTGAGTCACCACCAGCACTGGACCTTTTGAAGATGTTAATGTTCCCAACATTTCTGGTTGACGTAGAGATTGTCCCTCTCTTAAATAATGTTGCTTTCCGTAATTGCAGAATAAAGAAAAGGCAGTAGCAGGAAACAGAGGCTTGAAAGATATTCTGTGTACCAGTTGAAATTCTCTTCAACTATTTCACGTATTTTTCCTTTCCCATCTTAGAAAAAGAAAGTGGCTGGTTTTCACACTGAGCAGCATGTATGACTTTCTTGTTCTATGGAATGCCTTATTACTAAAACCTGGGGATGAATGGAGCTCTTTCTCTGGTTCTCAGCAACATAACCCAGAGAGGGGTTATGCTGCAGATGTTTATGCTTCTCCTTTATCTCTTTGAAAGTCTAAAATCTCCCCCTAATTAAACTGGAAGATATTGTGCATGATTTTTTTAAAAAAAAAACAAGCTGTAACAGCAGAGACTAACCAACTATTCAGCTACCTGGTGAATCGCTGTTCACCAATCTATTACCTTTTCTTCCTGAACTCATTGTGACTCTATTTCCTGCCTTCCTTGCAGGGGTGACTCAGAAGTGACGGAACCACTTCCAGGCAGGCTTGGCCTATAAAACCTCACCCAGGTGGCCCTCCCTGCTCTGCCCCTGCAATCTCAGAAGGTGCTCGTTAAAGAAGGAGGAAGCGCAAGGTGCAGAGCCCAGGTCTCTCAATCAATGCTTGGAGGAGCTACTCACCCATCAAAAACACCAGATTGAACTGTCCATGAGTGACAAATAAACTTCTGTTGGGCTTTAGCTATTATACATCTTGGGATTAATTTACTACAGCTATAGTACCTAAAAGACAGAATGGAAATTGCTAAGCATTGAGTATATTAATGGACCTGGATTTCCTCTGCTAGCCCAAATATCTCTGATCTTTACTTATTGGTTTCAAAGAAATGAGGTAATATCTGCTTTGATATCTCCATAAATATTGCAGTAATTGCCAGGTATGGTGGCTCACACCTATAATCCCAGGGCTTTGGGAGGCCAAGGTGGGAGGATAGCTTGAGGCCAGGAGTTTGAGACCAGCCTGAGCAAGAGTGAGACCCTACAAAAATACAAACAAACAACAACAACAACAACAAAAACCCAAAATAGCCAGGCAAGGTGACATGTGCCAGTAGTCCCAGCTACTTGGGAGGCTGAGGCAGGAGGGTCACTTAAGCCCAGGAGTTTTGAGGTTGCAGTGAGCTATGATAATACCACTTCACTCTAGCCTGGGCAATAGAGTGAGACCCTGTCTCAAAATTTTCCGGGATCACAACCTAGTGGCACTGACAGTAGAGAAGATGGCTGTGTAATTTAGTTAATTGTGCTCTGTCTGGGGGTGGTCCCTTCCATTTCCACTGAATTCATGGTACCTATTGAACATATAGTTTGTTTTTACACTCCCCCAAAATGGATTTTGCAACTGCAATTATACAAGCATTTTCAATAAACATTCTGGGAAACGTCCTGATTTGTTGATTCCCAGTGTGGGCGAACCCTACCCCTCCATTTTCTGTAAGGCTTCCCTGAATGTACTGAACTCACTTGTTTATCACTCAACAAACTGAATTTGGGGGGAAAATGTGAAAACACAGTGAAAGGGCATCTAGGCAGTTAGGATGCTATTAGGAGAGAGCGTTCTCCATATGCCTCGGACCTGGGAGAGCTGAGCCAGCCTCACCTGCAGCTGTGGACCACGTCTCCCTCTCCTAGTTCTCCAAATTTCTCCAGAGACAGACACTCCACAAGCCAGGCTCCTTTGCCTTGACACTGCTCAAGATGTGCTTCATCTATTTCAATTTCTGATTTGCACTGAGGAGAGAAGAGCAATCTATCATCTCTTAGGAGAAAAAGCCATTTGGAAGAATCTGTTTTGTGCATTCATAACAGCACTGCCAGTCCTCGGTGAATACCAAATGATAGCAGCCAAAGAGGGAGGCAGACAGAAAGGAGAAAAGAGGGAAGAATGGAAAGGAAAATGAAGAAAAGGAGGAAGGGGGAGAAGGAAGGAAGGAAATAGGAAAAGAGGGAGGAAGGGAGGGAGGGAGAATACTCTAAAAGAATCCTCAGGGTTGTTCAGAAGCCCCAGACACACCGAGTAGTCAACGGGCAAATTTGTTCGCTTCTTTGCATACATGATAATACAAGACACATAAGTAACTTTTCAGATAAAAATGGATGCAATGCATGGTAATGTATGAGCAGAGAATAAAAATTCTGGTAGATTTTTGTTCATTTATCTAGGGCTAAAATAATGTTCTGAGATGTTAACATTTTTTAATTCATGTTCTCCTTGTAGTTTCTCTGCCTTGCTGCCCAGCAGAGTCAGCTGTATGTGCATTGCCTCATGGAAGGTATGGGGGGTTGAAAGAGTTGGAAACAGAAGTACCCTGTCCTTTTGGGCACTTGATTTATAAAAGGCTGGTTCTTAGAGGACAATGATATCTGCCACATACATACACACTTAGCATGCTTTGGGCACTGTTCTAAGTTCTTTACATGCGTTAACTCATTCAACTCCTGTAACAACAGATCTATTATTTAATATCACCCCTATGTCACAGATCAGGAAAGTGAGGCACAGGAGGTTAATGAATTCGTCCAGGTATGTGCAGATAGCACATGGTAGAGCCAGGATTGGAACACACAGTGTGCCTTCTACATCCATGCTCTGTGCTGCCCCACTGCAGGGTTTCAAGGTGCTATGGTGCCTCACTGTGCTAACATGCCTTTCCCAAAACCTAAGGAGGGTTTGCAAAGAGATAAAAGGAATACGATTCTTAGGTTTTAATCCAGTCTTGCAAAAGAAAAACTTGCAAATTCAACAACAGTGCCCTACTCCAACTGCCTGGGCGAGGAGAAGACCACAGGAACGAAAGAGACCTCCAGGCAGCTCCTCAGCAGGACCTCTGGGGGAATATGGGGAGAAGGAGTTGCTCTGTGTGCAGCTCCCAGAGGTCCCCAGACCTGAACAGAAGTTTTACATGAAACTAGTGAAACCTGAGCTGCAGAACTTACAATTCGCTTAGGCCTCCCATTGCCCGGGAAGGCGTTCTGGCCTTGTATTTGCAACTTAATGCGATTTCTTTTAGCCTTTTAAATATTTACTTTTCTTTCCATTTTCATATTTGTAATTTTGTATGCTTTCTAATAAAGGTGAATCTCAAATCATAAAAACTACTAGGACACCCCAGTGCAGGCTTCACTGCAGCATTTCTGGGGGGATTTGATAAAGGACTGTTGCATTCCTGGGCTATGCCCTTGTAATGTGAATTTGTATTTATTCCCATCAAAAGATAGAGCTTTCTCCACTATTTGAATCTGGGCTGGCTTTGTGACTTGCCTTTCTCATTGAGACAGTAGCAAATGTGATATAATCAGAGGATTGAAAGACAGTTGCCATCAGAGTCTGCCCATTTTTGCTGTTCCTATACCTCGTGAACTGTGCGAGTCTGCAGGGTGCTGAGTTACGTGTGACCAAGTCACTCCAGTCGACCCAACTGGCAGACAACACTAACTCATTGTTTGCAAGCCACAGGTGCATCTCGGGTTATTAATATAATCCTTTTTCTTCTATTCCTGAATAAATTCAACATATTTGGAGATATTTTTCTCCAGTGTAGTTTTGTTTGTTTGTTTAGGTTGACATAATCTGTTATCACAAGCGGGATTTCTTGGAGTGAGAATAGAAAGTCCTTAGACACAGTTCTTACCTTAGACATGTAAGCATGAGCCCCTCTCCTTTATGCCTGCCCGATCTTCTTTTGTCTGGGTTTGACAAGACTGACTTCATCCTTCTTTCACAGAAGGAACTGCAGTGTGAGTGAGAAACAGCTCTTTCTTGAGTATGTCAGGCCATTGAGATTATGGGATTGTTTGTTACTGCAGCCTAACATCACTCATGCTGACTGATCAAGCCCACACTCCTTGCCCATAGAGAGGGGATGTAATCTACCATGAGAGTTACCTAGATTCAAGCAAATACTTAAGAAAAATACAGAACTATTGTTTCTTATTTATTAATCATGATTTATAGCAATAAAGGCTATTGATAAGGACCCCATTTCTTACAATAAATCAGCTAATTGCAGACTTCATAAGGATCATTTCTTATTAAGAAGGTGTCATGTCTACATTAATGTTGATTGTGGTTTCCCAAATCTAGTCTAGTGAGAAAGGAATTTCTATTATCACCATGAATTCATGTTGACCAAATGTGTTTTCTTCTATTCGGTCTTAAATGTCCCATTGCTAACATTTGCTAAATAAGTAGGCTTTGTTCTTACCAAACACAAATTTACATACTAACAATCCAATAACACACATACACAGGTGTTTTTTAAAAGTGTTAAAAAAAAAAAAAAGCACAATTTAAGCTTTGGTCAAACCCAGCCATGTTTTCATAAGGGTGTCTTCAAATAAAGAATTGAGTATCTTTGGGTAGCAACACATTTTAAATTTGATTGACATCAAAATAATCTTGAAGGCAATTCTTTAAAATCCTTTTTTTAAAAAAAAAAGCCTTCTGTGTTTGTTTATATCTTTTTTTAAAGAAAATCAAATATTCCCAATTTCATCAGTATATATCTCAACTTTCTGACAAGGCTGCTTAATTATCAGGGGTATCGACTGGAAATCTCCCTCTTATCAGCACAGAGGCTCTTTCCTTTGTGTAGCCAGCAGGTCTCTGAAAAGCCTCCTGCATGGGTATTAATTGGTATTCAGGGCTAAGTCCTAGCACTGGGAGATTTTCATCTTGCTGAAGGTTTGCCTGTCATTGTGACTGGATTATCTGGCTATTAAACTGTGGTCCTTCCAGCACGCCAACCCTCCAAAGAGACTGTGCTAGAAACTCAAGAGATAAGCAAACAAGTGACTTTCTGCAAGTTTAAATAAGCATAAGCAGACTCCAGCCTTATTCTTGAAGAAGGCTAACAGTCTAATACTTTACTAGAATTAATTTCCTTAATCTTCCCAGCAACCCTGTGAGGTAGGTACTGTTATTATCCCCGATGTTTAGATAAAGAAACTGAGGCAGAGAGAGGTTAACTGATTTCCAGGAAGAAAACATTTCATATGAACTTGATATTACAAGTCATAATTCATTGTAATTATAAATGAAACCAACATGTAGTCCCAGCTACTCGGGAGGCTGAGGCAGGAGGATTGCCTGAGCCCAAGAGTTTGAGGTTGCCGTGAGCTAGGCTGATGCCATGGCACTCACTCTAGCCTGGGCAACAAAGCAAGACTCTGTCTCAAAAATAAAAAAATAAATAAATGAAACCAACATTTACTGAAGATTTATTTTGTAATAAGTACTGTTCTAAGTGCTTTGTTTGTGTGTGTGCGTGTGTGTATGTATATCTATATATTGGATCTATTAACTTATTAAATATTTTCAATTACTTCATGACATGCTTCTGCTATTACCCTCTCTTCAACACGTGAGACAACCTAAGCACAAACATCGGAAGTGGCTGCTGTAGATTATACATATGGTCAAGAACAAAATGTATTTTGCCCCAGGGTAGATTAACTTTAAACCCTCCTTCCCAACCACTACACACACGACACACACACATAAATATGCACATATATGAACAGAAGAAACATGCACATACTCCCATACCAATACACACACTACACAAAATCATTTATGCATGTACAAACATATACACATGCACTATGCACATAAATGCACATGCATGCCCATAAGCACAGGCACACAGATGCACACGTATGCACACACTTACACTCATATACATACCC